AAATACACTCAGCCTTGTTTAGAAAAAGCAGCTTTCACAGAGATTAATAATTATTTTTTCTTCTGAGTACAATCAATTTATGCCAAAGTCTACTCCAAACTTAAGCAGCAAATTGCTCCCAGTGACACTGCCTGCTATTTCTATGCAGTATTTGTATGCACTACAAACTAGTTACAGCAATTGCAGTTTCTTTTAACTTTCAAGGAGAGCCCTAATGACTGCACTTTGGAACATTTTTCAGTTAGCAGCAGGACTGTTGGCCACTGCCGACTTACACCTCAGACTTGAACATGCTACAGATTTGCAAAAAAATGCCGTACCTAATTAGGAGCCTTCCACAAAGAGAAATGAAGACTATATGTGTGGAGGAGGATGCTGGGGGTGTGCAACGAGGGGGAGCTGCCGGAAGGGATATTCTCCGTAACGTTTATCCCAAGATTATTGCACAAATCTAAGGAAAATGCATCCCTAATAACAGCCACCTGAGAATTCAGTAATTGTTCCTTACGCAATTACACCTGAGGCACTTTAAGCAAACACTGCAGAAATAATACGTGGAAAACTCGGCTAACCACAAAATTGTTTTTTAAGGAGCAGTAGGAAACTCTACACGTGGATGCCATTGGGTCTGTGCTTCTCTCTCTGCTGGAACCCTGTAATCCTTATTAATCTGCCGCTGGTTCCTGGAAAGTACCTTTTCTCCGTCAATAAAAATCCAGAGTTCTGTTGGATTAATTTACGCCCCTTACTCATAGCTGAAGCTGTGCAGACAAACGCACGATTTCAGCAGACATGCCTCAAAATTTACTCTATATTTTTCCTTGCTGCAGACTCTGCCAAACTAAGCAAAAAGAAAAAGAAAAAAAAAAGAAAAAAGAAAAAGAAATCAAAGCTGGGAACAATGTTACCGCAGGGTGCCAAATTTGCAGTGAAAGCCCCATCGGCTGCTGTCACGCAAAGTTTGACACGTCTTGCCAAATGGTTTCTTTGCGATACAAACCGCTTGCAAAGTGACTGGGCCCTTTGTGTCGCAGCTGAATGCTGCAGATGGGAAGGGCTCTGCCAGGAAAGGGGAACTGCTGTTTTCGCCCCATGAAGCTTCATGCACGCAAATACGAGCACACTCCCCTGCTACAGGGCACTGCTCGGTACCCCCGGCAGCTCAGCAGCGTTTTTGTTCCGATTGGTGCAGGCTGCACCCAAAAAAGCAATGGCAAGTTGTGTTGCTTAAAAGTCAAAATAAAAAAGAGGCATTCACGATGCACTGCAAACCCAAGGTCCAGCACAAACAAGACAGATGTCTTTGGCTTATCAAATTTCCATGCTGCATAAAGTTTAGTCTCTGTTTAGGAACTCAGTGTATGAAGAGACCTTCCTAGGGAGAGTTAGACGATTCCCTGTAGATCCAAAATACCATAAACCAGAGCAGAATACCAAGCAGAGTGCCGCACAAGTAGGCGCAAGATATAGTCATCCTTGTTCTTGCCAAATAGAAATCAGTTGAATACGCATTACATGGTGAAAGCTGTTCCGACAAGCAGTTCTTCAGAAGGCTACGGAAAAATCTACATGTTTTTAATAACATCTTTTTTGCATTATCAGGCCTTAGACTTAATACTATTCCCCACACACACAAGCTTTAAGTGCAGCTATGCTCTGTAAGGTAGTAGAGATGATGATTTCCGTTTATTCCACTTTGTAATTTATACACAAGGAAAATTGTATCGATTTTTTGCCCTCTGCAGCAGTGCAGCTGCAGAGCAACTCCTCTTCCTAAACTGCACAGGGCCCCTCTGATCCCTAGGAGTCTTCCTCCTTCGGGAGTGCTCACCACACATCTGAATGTTATTTTGGATGAGCTAGGACCTCTCTTCTCTCAGTGCAGCAACAGAGAGAACCACTCTGAATTTCACCAACTTTTATTTTTTTGCTACCATAATGCATTACAACATAGCTCTCTGCCTACCATCCTACCTTGGTTTTTAGATGTTGAGATCTAGCCAGTGACTAGCTTTAGCCAGTGACTTGCCCTTAGGAGGTTTTAGGCGCTTACTTGGTAAAAGGAAAGAATCCCAATACGCAGCCAGCTCAGCAATAGTGTAAAATATTGACCGTGCCTCCTTGACTCCCTGCCAGCTGGGCTTTGTTGGGCAAACTGCAGATGCGACAGACACACGCGCACGCACGGAGTGGGTCACCAGGCTGCCAGCTGCGGTGGCCAGCCACGTAAATGGCACGTTCGTGGCAAGGGAAGACACGGGTGAGAGGAGGAGCTCATGGCCAAGCGAAGAATAGCTTCAACAGCAAGTACAAACTGCTGCTGGAAATGCAGGTACTGTGCAGGGAGATTCACCCACCCTGGGGCAGCAAGTGGGGCTTTCCAGGGGCGTCAGAGGTAGTGAAGGAACCTCTTAAAGACAGAAAAGTTTTAAGATCAACCTGGTAGGGTACAAATATACCAAGATGAGCAATAAATGTGAAAAAACTGTCAGATAAATTTCTTTCCATTTTCAAATCTCTCCTGAGTGCACTCATTAGATCATGCAGAGAGACATTAATAAAAAGGTCTACCAGAGACCAGTGTTAAACTGGCCAGTATCTGAGCTGTGTCGACGACGGTCTAAGTCATGCAAGGCTCTCGCAAGCAGCCAAGGGAATGCAAATGTGTCCAGCATGTTTTCCAAAATGGAAACTGAAAATTTGCTTTCTGCTGCAAGTTCTGCAATAGCCATTTAAAATCCATTGCTGCTGAGAACATGCCAGCGCAGTTTTAATATGCACAGCTGCACAGAGCCAGCCCAGAAAAGGCTCTTCAGAGCTCCACAAAAACACTGCTGACATTTTTTTCCCTACCATGTCCTAAATGGGACCATTTAGGTAACTGTCAGAAGGAATCTGTTACAGATAGCTAGCAAAGGTAAAGCCCAAGCATAAAGAGAACAAGATAAAAGAAGGCATTTAAAATAAAGCTGTTTATATCTGTTTTAATCTGAGAAAATGTGGAACCAACCAATTGCTAGGAGGCCTGAGATTCAATTTTTGGTGCTAACAAAACTAGGTTGACCAATATGTTGCAATCAAGAGATTTACAAATGTCATAATCCCCGTGTAAAAAGTATCTTCTCTTTGCCAGACCCCGCAAATCACCTTCTCTCCAATTTAAAAAAACAAAGAGAACCACAAAAAGAGTAAGTATAAGAAATAAAAGACAGACAGAATCTTTGCTGATTTTGCTAAATTTTGAAGCTAAGCCAAACAGCATCACTGACTTTCCTATCTCACAGGGAAATAAGGCAGGCAGCACAGACTGCTTAAAACAGTGAACTGGGTGGTACAGCTAAAGCCCAGCTGTAAAATGCAGAGGCTGCAACGTTCTGCCCTGCAGGCTGAAAGGTGAGGGAGAGGGCTGCTCTGCTATTCCTGGGCTTAGCCACTGCCAACATCTAAAGTTACTTCTCCAGAGCTACGGGACAGTCTTGCTTCTCATTTTCCTGTGTCGAAAGGAGAGACTTCAGAGTGGAGCTATTTCCGAAAGACTCAGAATTCATTTATCCAAAAATGCGGCACGTACTAAACTCCCGAGTGGCATAGGACACAGCCATGGGTGAACTTTCTGTATTTCTTTGCACACATACTGGCACAGAAATAGACTGCTACAACAGCCTAGTCCAAACTGCACTTCGAGAACTGGTTTACACCACAGGAAGAAAACGTTAAGCTACTGTTCTAAAGAGGGGAAGACTTACTTTCATTCTGACATTCTGGTTTGGTAATCCTGTTTATGAAGCCATCTCAATTAGCTAGGTTATTCCCCTCTTCTTACTTTGAAGCCATTTCAAATTCCCTGGAGAATTGCCTTTTGGAATTAAAGTAATCAACAAAGCTAATTGTTTAGCACCTTCAGTTTGCAAACTGTTTTTGGGTCTTGGTGGAAGGATAGGCTGCTACTTCATATTAGCAACCCAGCTCAATTAGCTGAAGGAAACTATTGCCACCAGACAGCCAGAACTGAACAAGACATTGAAAAGAACATTTGTCTGCCTGACAAATGCAGGCATTTGTAAGAACTGGCGGAATTATTTTTGAATTTGACCTCAGCTGTGCTTCAAATTTAGCTTAAACTTCAAGCAATAAATCTCAGAAAAGTTATGATCTCCAGAGACAATTCATGACTTCCCTCCTCGGAGCCTATTGCAACGGATGGATAACTCATCCAGTTTTGCCTACCACAGAAACATGTCTGCATTAGATGGATAAAGTTTGAGCAGTAGAAAGATGGTTAAACATACTGCAATTTAAAAATATTTCTTCCCAAAGGAAGGAGGGCACAAGGAAATCACACTGTATTCTAGCTGGTACTCTTTCAGCTATTAGGAACGAACACTGTGAGGAAGATTCTTCCTACACAAAGTCAGAGGTAGAAAGCAACACTGTTTTCAGAGTGGATGGAAGATGAAAATTGACTTTTCTTCCATGTGTCTGGACACCATGTAATCCAATGAGGTCTGGAAATAGACTCTCTAGGGCCCCCACAACCATCTTCTCGTGTACACAAACCTTGCATGGTGTCTTTTGCATGCAGCAATTTCAGATACTAGTGTCAAGCAGCACAACCAAGTAAAAGCACTACTTAAATAGGTTCTACCTGAGCATCCCAATTTGTTTCAAAAAGCCTCAGATAAAACCTGAGATTTTAAGTAATTAAATTATACCTGGTACAAGGGCAGGAATGTTATCTTTTCCAATGCTTATGGCATTGGCATTTCAATGGCATACTAAACCACATTTGTTACAAAAGTTTTCGGAACAAAGAGAGCACATGAGCGTGTTTCCTTTCTTCTCAAAGACCTTGTCCTGTTAACCATAACATTCAGATTAATAGGACAATAAAGTTTCTTGAAAAAATGGATAAATAGATGCAAGACAAACCTGAATATAAGAACAGTGCTTTTCTTCTCCCGGCCTCAAATAATGTACACAGCTACTCCTATATCACTCACCTCAATTTTATCTGTTTTTGCATCTCCCCAGTAAAGCTTGTCTTCCTCAAGATCCAATGCCAAGCCATTAGGCCAACCCAGGGACGTATTCACCAAAACTTTCCTCTCCGAGCCATCCAGGTAAGCACATTCTATCTTTGGGCTTTCACCCCAGTCTGTCCAGTACATGTAGCTGTAAACAAATAAAAATAGGAGAGAAAAAAGTCAGTACAAATGATGTGCAAGACAAAAAACTATCAAGATTTGTTCCATTTTTGAAAGAACTTGCTCACTTCCTGCTCTCCAAGTTTGATCCAGAAACAGCAAACAAACCAGTTCTAACCATAACTAGTGATACAAGTCTAAGATTTCAGGTATAAACAAAATCAAACTCGTAAAAATGTGCAGGATCCCAATTCTTTAATATTTATGATAATACTAGGGATGTAGAAAAACATGTATTAAAATAAAACAAATAGACAACATATAGTTTGGCTGAAGAACATTATATTTAGCAGTCAGCATCTATACACATGGTGCTTAAGAGGTGACGGAAGGGAAAGCCAATGATTTCTGGTAGAAAAGAAGGAATATTTGACAACTAACGCACATCTCATTGGATAGTTTGCTGATTTTTATAGCAGTTTTAGGAGAGCAGAAATTGGACTCCAAGACCTGTCATAGCTCTACCATTAAAGACAACAAACAAACAAACCCCACACACTTACCCCATTACAGGATTGAGCACTATTGCTCGGGGCTCATCTAGGTTTTCTGAGATGAGGATTTTTCTTGATGTCCCATTCAAGCGGGTCACTTCAATGCGGTCTGTCCCAGTGTCCGTCCAGTAGAGGTTCCTGGCCACCCAGTCCACAGCAATGCCATCCGGGTGGTTGATCTCTGTGGTTACCAGAGTCTGTGCCCCAGAGCCATCCAGGTAGGCCCGTCGAATTGCCCGGACATCATCATCAGTCCAGTAGATGTAGCCTTCCACAGGATCATAGTCTATGGCAATCGCGTGTCTGATATTGTCTATCTGCAGAATAATGTCAGTGAAATCTGGCATGTCCAGGGAGATTCTCCTCAAGTCAGTCCTTCTAGCTAGCAGCAAGACTTCTTCAGCTCCTGAGGGAGGAAAAAGAAATTTAGGACACTAATCTGCAACTGCAGCAGTCACAGAGCAAGCTTCAAGAGCACAAGTAGCCAGTGCACCACAGCGGAAGTCTTTGCTTCTCTGCGTCTCTGAAAATAGTTGAAGTTAAGCAAGTTAGTCCAAGTTAAGCAAGATTCAGGCCTCAAAACTCAACACAGAGGGAAGAACGTGTCTCGTCATCAAGACGTTCTGTCAGAACAGAAGAGCGAACACAAATTATTTTAGTTTAACTGTCTCGGAAGGCGAGCAGCCGCTTATCCACAGTGCTGTCCCCTACTCCCTGCTCAGCAGCTGAGGCTCACCCTGCTGAAGAAATTGGCCCATTCTCAGTCCCAGGGAGGAGTGTGGCTAAAAAACGTGGACCAGAAAACCAGCACACTTTAAACTGAAACTTAGGTAGAAAAGAAATAATAAGTGGAGTAAACTACTTGATCGATTTAAAGTTGTGGCTGCTTGACAACTTCTCCTTCAGAGATGCATCTGCTTCTAATGAAATTAAATTATTACACAACCAGTTTCTTAACAGCCATGTATCTACACCCTTAGACATTAAAAGAGCAAAGCGAACAGAGCAAATGTCTCGTTAAGTCTGCCCCACAGCCTGAAGCATCATTCTTGCTGCCAGTTCTGTGATAGGTACAGGAATATTAGCCTCTATCAGAGCACAGCCAGAAATCAGAGTGTTGGTTAAACGTATATTTGCCTTTAGTATTATTTTACTTTATTATTTTTGCTAGAAAATAAAAGCAGCAGACTGAGTGCAGCACTAGTTGCTGAGAACCTCTCAGCGCTGCCACCACTTCGCTGCAAACCTGGACAAACACGCTCCTCTGCCTCATGGTGTTTTATCTCTGCCACAGAGACATTTTGATTATTAATGCTGGTAGACTGTTTTGAAGAGTTGTGCTGTGACATGTCTAGCATAATATTAAAGTAGAGCCTAACAGTCTACTCTTTGCCTACTGCTAAAAAGTTCTACAGCACTAATTTAATTCAATCAAAGTTCAGAAACCTCTCCTGTAGCAATCACACTCACTTTCTTAATCACAGGACCAAGAGATCCCCAGCAGAATTACAATCTATTACAAGAGAGTCATATATAACACCTCATAGGGAACAAAGGCCACCTTTTCTCCCTTTTGGAGAAGACAAACCATTCTGAATAACACAACAGCACAACTGCAGCAACCAAACACTCCTGCAGACATTTATGCAAACTTGTCTATGTCTAGCATAGACCAGAAAAAGAGGAAATGGGGTCCCTCTAAAATTTCCATTTAGAAAGCATTTCAAAAGGCCCAAGTCCCAACTATTATTTTATTTTTCCAACTGGTTTGAACTTTGAAATGTTTATTTTTCTCTAGTCTTTCCCCCCCGCCTCCATTAGTCCAAAGCTTTCTTCAGACCTTCCACAGGCCGCCTGAGCAGGTCTAACAGCCATACAAGCCCGTCAACCATTCTGGTTAACATGCAGAACCGAGCTAACAATATCTGAATTTAAAAAAACAAACAGAACAGAAAACAAAATAATGCAGTTCAGGCAAGTTAATTGTTACTCCCTGAAGACTATATTCTCTCCTTGCAATCAAGGGATCCGACAGAAACAGTTTAAGAGCCTTTTTTTTTGTTCGTGCATGTGATATTTTCCTCCCACACCTAGTAATCCATTATTTTTAATACCCATGCTAGGTATAGTGTGTGCTGTGATTCTCTTGTTTTGTGCTCCCACTATTAAAAATTCATGCTTGAGTGCTGAAAATGGCAGCTGTATTCTATTTGCAAAATTAACTGCAATCAGAGCTGACAGCACTGAAGCAGGCCATCTCGCCAGCCTGACAAGAGCCTTTTTCTTCTTCCCTTGGCCCACTTCACATTTGACAAGTGACAAGACATCTATAATACAGTAACAAATGCTCCAATTTATTCACCCAACCTAAACAAATGGGGACGGCAGCGGCTGCGTTTGCTAATCCGCGCAGCAAGCGCCATGCTATTCCTTTCCCATTTGTCTGTCTGCTAATCAGGCTAGAACAAGGCTCCGTTGTGGGAGCCTCTGCCAGGTTTGTGTGCGCGCATGCGTCCGCCAGGATACACTCAGTCCACATAGTGCTCGCAATCCCTCTTGTAGCAGGAAAAATCTGATAAACTGCAGAAACGTTTGATTGTTTAGTGCTTCTTCAAGGAACAAAATAGTAAGCGCTTTTGGAAAACAGAGCATTAAAAATACTTTGACTGGAGGCAACTTTTTATGAGCTGCTTGAGTGCAGCTATCTCGGCACTCTCAATAAACCAAACAGTTACACCAGGAAAGCAAGGGACCATGTGAGGTGCAGTAATTCAGCGCACTACCTGCAAAGTTGGGGGACGGCAGGAAGGAGGGAGATGGCAGAGCACAAAACTCTGCACGGAGCACATGAGCCATAGGCAGTGATGCTGTGCCATGTAACAACCTTGCCAGGACTCAAAATAATCGCAAGGCCTCATGAGAGCATTTAGGAGGAGGGATGCGCTGCCACTCGCTATGGGAGGCCCAAGCTGGTACCGAGAGCACCGCGCAAAACCCCACTCCTGCAAGCAGCTTCCACCAAAAACACTAATACTTGGGAGATGAAACATCTAAAGATAAATGGAAAATCTTCTTATGTATCCTCCTCGATTTTGGTACCTTACCGGAGCCAGCTGCAACACCAACAGCATCTTGTATCCCAGTTGGGTTCTTGATTAATGCCCCATGTCAGAGGATCTGCAGCAGCAATGGGGCCGCTTTGGGAAAAGCAGGGCATGGACTGTCCCCCTGGACATCATGGGTTGGGACACACGCTGGGTTTATCAACTGAAACCAGGAGTTGGAGATGGTGGGAGCAAGCAACCAGAAAAAAAGAAAGGGGAAGGTTTATCTGAGAGAGGGCCTTGCATGGCCTCGCTCAGGCACAGCTCTGTTTTGTTGGAAGGTGTGAGCAGGCACAAGGAAAAGCAGCGCTTGTGACAAAGACAGGAAATACCAGAGTGCTCACGTAACTCATAAATTACATCAGATCTGTCTGCATGCTCCTGTGAAAGCTCCTCGCCACTGTTTCTTCTACTGCCTCTGCAGCAGGCGTCTCACAGCTGCTTTCCCCAAACCAGGGAGGGAGACAAAATAGTTTCAGACAGTTCTGGCACATGGTTCATGCAGCCACTGGCAGGGGGGGAACAACCCTCAGACAGAATATTAATTAAAGTTCCCAGCTGATAAGATCATTAGCACAAACCAGCTGACCGAGGCGAAAGCAAAGTCTCCTCCGGAGCAAGCTGCTGCAGCGCAGGCGACGGCTGCCCGGCCTTGCTGCGGCGCGCCACGAGGGAGGCTCTGGGCAGGACGTCGCTCTGCACAGAGCCAGCCTCACCCTTGCGAGCCCACGGCTTTATAAAGTCACCTTGTGAGCCCACGGCTTTATAAAGTCACTATTGAAAGAGGACTACGTAATTCTCCTGCAGGCTTATTCAAACTGCATTTATTAGATCAGTCCTAACTGCACCGTAGCCTCCAGACCCGAAGTCCAGCACAAGGGGCCGTGGCTCCACCAAACAGATGACTTCCATTTTGGCAGTCCATTTTGGACTTCATCAAAAGATCTCAAAGAACTGGAACAACTAAATCTTCTCCTCTCTCCTGAGGTCTGACCAGCTATATTCTGTGTGAACCATATCTGAATGGTAGATCACAAGTATCTTAGTCCCAGCAACTAGTTAGTTATTTGCAAAAATGTTCACATGCCTTTGCACAGACATCCTAATGACAGCTCAGAGCAACTCGTAAGAGAAAAGGATGGGCCAAGAAAATGCTGCCAG